GCAGGAATGGAAGGGTAATAAATTTAAAACAAAAATCAACAAATAAAAACCACCGACGTCTAACTAGAAAGGTCCAAGAACAAGAGCCAATGTGTAGTCCTAAAGCCTCTCTCCTGTGACATCAATTTATTAATGAAGCCTCTTGAAGAATGTCTGCTAGGCCAGACGTGGAAACGTTAACTATTTCAATTCTTCATAATTTACTGATTTAACTACTGACTGAGTTTTTCCACAAATTCTAGTGATTGCCAGTTACCTTTTTATTCACCAGCAGTAAAAATAGCACTTTTCATACCCATTTTATTTTTTATATTTTATCTCCCCCCACAAAAACGTCCCCTTTCTTAGTGAAGTCATTATCACATGCACCAGCTATAGCAATAAAATTGTTTTAGTCTCCTCTGTTATATCATTGATTACTTCTGTACATTTAGGGTAACGTTTGTATAGCACTTTGTCATTAATAAAGTATTATCATAAATATACCATTTGATTTTGATATATATATGTATATATAAGATTTTGTACACACATATACATATAACTCTAGTTTTAAGATGTAAGGTATATACAAATTTATTTTGAAGATGAAACTGTGCTGAACAGTTGTTTAAGATAACATTTTTCATGTCTCTGAAATTTCATGTTCAAGGTTAGACTAATCATAGCATCATAGAACCTTAGGGCTTTAATTAGCATTAACAGTCAATGAGGCTAACGCCTTGCCTAATGCACAAATCTTCAGCCATGTCTCCAGTTGTTCATTTTACCCTCTCTTTAAATATTTCCAGTTTGGGAGGAACTTTATCACACCTCAGGACATTATATTTTCAAACCTGCTTTACGATTAGGTCTTTCATCCTTACTTCCATACGAAATCTACCATCCTCTTACTTATTCATTATTCATTTTTTGAATACGGACTATGTTACAAATACTATGCTTGTTGTTTGAGATACAAAAAATGACTGGGGCAGTTTCTACTCTCTGGGAGTTCACAATGACCTGAAGGAGATAAAATTAAGGAAATAGCATAATGTGGTATGTACTGTAACAGAACTATGGCCATGAGAGCATGAAGGAAAGAGCTCCTAGATCTGGATGAGCAGTTGAGGGAATCCTTCACATAGGTTTTCTGTTCATATAGATCAAATTTGTCTCAAGACTTTTCAAATCTTTAAAAGACAGATTTTGTGTTCTCTTTCTTTCGCAGCTTGTTCGTGTACTGGTTTCTCCAAATAACCCTCCCGGTGCTACCAGTAGCTGCCAAAAAGCTATGTTCCAGTGTGGCTTACTGCAGCAGCTTTGCACTATCCTAATGGCCACTGGAGGTCCTGCTGATATCCTGACTGAGGTAAACCAAATAAAGGCAGAGGCTACTCTGTGGAAGCTGAAATCTGGAAGCCTAGGAAGAATTAGATATCAGCTGAATGAAAAATAGAAATTGTTAACCATTCTTGTATGTTAAATTCGTTATTGACCCTATAAAATATTAGCATAATGATGACAGTATCAATTCCAAAAGGTGTATTCATTCCTCAAGTTTAATAGTATATAAAGTTAAAACTTAGAAGATTTCTCATTAATTTTATTGTATTCAGCA